GAGGAAAGAAAATGTAACTGTAAAAAAGGGAGATGAAATGAAAATGGGAGAAGGTTATAATTAATAACCGTCCGACTAGCTGTATGCCGACCAGTCTAAAACAGAGAGGGAGAGAGGAAGGGAAGAGGACGAGAGAAATGAAAATGCCCCGGGAATGATCTTAATGCTCCACTTGGTGTTCACATTCCAATCCGGCAAATCATGAAACATTCAGCCCAAAATGTAAACTGTGTCCTTTCTTCATCCAGCTGGGAGACTGGGAACACTGGTAGGTATTAAACAAGTCTCCCCATCCTCTCTCTCACTTCTTTCCCTTCTCTCTCTCTCTGTGTCCTTTTCTCTGTTGCATGTGCGAGAGAGAAACAATATGGAGGAGATCAGTTGCACAGCAGAGAGGAGACAGGGGGTTGGGTGGGAGGCCAGGAGGAGATGACGGGGTGGAGGGTGGGCTGGGGTGCAACGTTTAAAAATATCTCAAACTGTCGAACACAAGGCTGGGCCACAGCAGTCCAGCAGCATACCTTCGATTTCAGCTATTTCTGCTGCTTTTTCCATAATGTCCAAAGTCTGCCTTATAAGCTGATGACAAAGACGCTTCTCCAGCTGAAGCATAAAAAGACACGCTGGTTCAGTCACTGTAATTTTTCCCCATGCGTTTGCCAACAGAGCTGCTTTCTGTCAGAAGGATACTTGACTTATTATCAAAATGATATGTTGGTCTCAGGGGTCTCAGAGAAACCTGGCAATCGGGTTCCTGCGTCTGAGAACAACTACACTGAACTCTCCCACCTCCAGGGGCTCCCACTCTGACTGGTAGGATAAAGCAGGCGAGGGGACAGTCATTTTCCCAAAGTGATTAAGTATTTCATTTTAAATTGCCAGCAAATGGGCCATGTGTGGAAAAAATAACATTGCCAAAAAGCTGAAAAGCATTAGGGTTGGAAAGAAATAACTGGAACATTTTTCAAAGCAGTGCAATTTAATATTGAGCTGAAACTTTAGGAAGAATAATCCGCAAAATGTTTTACAGATTAAACTGTTGTTGTAGTCCCGCTCTCTGTCTCTGCTATTCAACCATGTAAATATATGTGTGTGTTGTTGTTGTTTGTGTGTGTCATTGCTGGGGGGGATCCTCGTCCTAGACATTGCATGCATGAGTCAACATCAGCCCCCCACACGCAGAGATAAACACACTCACAGATGCAAAGGGAACCCAGATAGATAGAGTTGTGGAGGGTAAGGCGGGTATTTTGGGTCCACATATGGAAAAGTGTTTTAGTTGCTATACTTGTGCTACAGCTGCAGCCAAGTCTTCTTTAAACTCCCAGACAGAGAAAAGCTGCTTACTGTGGAGAAGAGAGCAGTTCAGGGACACACAAACAAATAACATAAAGTACATTTACAGTCAAATGTGTATATAAAGACACTTGAAAATGTATCAAACATAAACATATGTTTGACAACGGAGTTTTGTTAGGGTTTTTCAAAGTCTTGAAAAAGTCTTGAAAAACCCTAACAAAAGTGTGAAAAACTGTTCATAAACTGTATTTCTTTTTTCAAATCATTTGTGTCTTTCAAATGCATTTAAAAACTGTTGCAAATGTATGCCGAACCAATTTAAAATGCATTTGAATCATTTCCCTTTAAGCTGCTAAGATAGAAATGCTGTGCTTTTAATTATGCTAAAAATGTATTTTCACATTCAAGTGACAATCTGCTTTGTTTGAATGTAATCTTACCTACATCCTATCCCTTTCTTTCTTCTGTTTTCTCTGTCTATCATTTACCTCAGGGTGCATCCCAAATACCATTAGGTGTGTGGGAGGCTTTGCTGCAGCAAAGATGCAGAGATGATTGTGCTGGCCTCCACTCTGCAGTGGTATACATCATCATTAACATAACCAATAATGTCCAAGAATAACAAACGTGCTATTTAATGCTAAAAAAGGAACACAGATTCCTGCATTATCATTAGTTTTCTTTGGCAGTTCCAAAAACGTAACTTTTTTACAAGATCTCATGATTCTTCCCAAGGTTTTGTTTTCTCCCTCTGGCCTATCTGGCAATTGACTGAGGAAAATATGAAATAATGGCACACCATCTATTTTTAAATGGTCTGTCAACAGTATTTGCTGAGAAACAGCCTTCAGTAATGACCCACCGGCAGCCAATCTGCTAATGTGCCCTGCAGAGCAGCACTAACATCAGAGCTAAAATGATACATGCTTTTCTCTTTCATTATACCCATCTCTCTACCTGTCCATCTCTCTGGGCTTTCTGTACCATCCCCTCTGCACTCATGTTTATACATTGTCATATTTGCCTCTGTTTTTCATGCCTTCTGGCACTTGTCAGTCCTGTAAAGGAACTGCAACACATACCTTAAAAAAAACATACACACATTCACACATTGTCTCGCTTATAAAGACTATGTTCTTCCTGTTTCATTACACCATGATTAAGAAATGAAATATGTGGCAGGATAGTCCATATACAGTAAGGCCACAGAAAGCCATTGATTTGCCAGTTTTCTGACGCACTGCAGCCCCCTTTCTGCATTAAAGTGAATTGAACAGAAGCAGTACTGATGGTTACTGATGGTCATTTTGGACACATCATTTATTATTATGAGAAACTGCAGCTAAACTTACAAGTCTAGTCATGTATTCGCTGATTGGTTAGAGTAAACGTGTGATGTCAGTGAACGTGTGAATGGAGGTGAAAGATACAAACCCATAGTGTGTGGCATAATGGTATACTGCACAGTGTGTCATCATGCAGCCTCAGTAAGTGTTATTATGCCAGGGAGTTAATCATGCTGTACACTATCATTTCCTCTTTGTCAATAGAGAGGCTTTTTTTGGATCAATGAACGGTGCAGATGCATCATGAACAGCTTAGTTTGATACAATAGACTAACACAGCTTGTCACTGGAACGAAAAGGACTATGAGGAGTAAATGGTGACACTATTCACGTTGGAAATCCAGCAGCTCACAAAGTCATTAGTTTGCATTTGGACCCTGATTATCACAGCTTTCAGAAAGCAGTTAGTAGGGGTTTATTTTAGTTTTTTTAAACTCCCCCAAAGTCCAACATATGACAAGCTTGACTTACAAGTGCATTGTGTTGGGTTTATCAGAAGTGAAGAAGACCTTGGCGAGTGAAGTCAGACCTGCATTGCTCAGTGTTTTTCCTGTAAACACCACAACAGTAACAACAGGGTCCTGGATGTCAGTATAGTTCCCGACGCAGGTAGATTCAGTAAATTAGTTTGAAAAGGTCAACTGTATCTGATAACAAGTCAGAGAAGGGTTCTAAGGAGAAAGGGCAATTAAAGTAAAAAGGCTACTACAGTTGTCTCTTTTCCCCCTGACGTCGTGTTAATTATAGAAACTGTAATGTATGTGAGCTAGGACCAAAACAGTAGTAGCAATGTACTTTTCATGCTTCATAAGGAGGTTTTAAGGAGCACAGGGATTCACATTAATAGTTAAGTTACTCTAAGAGACTACTGTAATTTTATTATGTGGTTTCTCCAGAGAGGTAGGAGTGCTCATGTTTCTTCTGCTCCGATTGTAAAAGAGATCAAGAGGTTTTTGTCTTCTAACTCTATATATAAATATGAAACATCTTGTCGTGATGGACCAAAACAGCCTCCTGATACATACATGGTTTTTTATACAAATCCAAGCCTATCGGATTGTTGGAATAATTATCTTATTGTATGTTTATTGGGATTTCTTTAAATAGCATGACGTGTTCTATTCTTCCACTCCCCCACATGTGTATACATTATGATCTAAGCGTGTGTATATTTGCTATGATAACATGTTGGAGGTACAATGGGGATCTGAAGGCTATGGAAAAGGGAGAATATCCATTACATAAGAGATTAAAGTGAAGGAATCTGAGGTATGTATCCAACAACGCTGGCCAATAATCTGAAAACCTACTTCATGAGCCCCCCCCCGCCCGCCCATGTGCAGAGCATCAGCGGGTAGGTACACTGTTTATCCCTTGATGTTGGCTTTAAAAAGCTAACAAACACGTAGTTTGGCACCGCAACGTAAACTCATTTAGTGTTATTAGTTTCCACTGTTGTTCTAACTTTTCTTTCCAGCTAGGGTGACAAAACGAAGTATGTGCAGAAGACAGCAACAGGAACAGAAAGGAAAGATAGAGGGACTTGATTTACTTCTCTCAGGTAATGTCACGGGGAGTCCTGAATTTTGTAAAAGAAAAAAGGCACGCAACCAGCCTGTTTATAACATATCATGCCACCCGCTGCTTTTACTCAACCACACTATTGTAATAGACTGCTGCTATTACTGCTGCACTTCATTACAACAAGCAGGAGGGTTGGAGAGAGAGCAAAAGAGAGAGAGAGATTACTTTGTTCAGGGTAGAGCGATGTTTCATCCATCCACGTGCTGCACATACCTGACCGACACACGCTCATCATGAGGACAGACACTGTCCAATTCCCAAACACACACACAGTCCTCTATTTTGAATGGAATAATGTGTGATGCATGTCCTCCTTCGTCTTCCTCACTGTGTAGTCATGTGTACGGACTTTTTTCTCGCATGCTCTGATGTGTATGAAACACACATCTGTTGCTGGAGCTGGAGGCGAGAGGATTGAAGCTAACACTTAAACCATTAGCATACGCTCGCAGGAATGGAGGGAGAGATAAGGGAGACGTGGGTGGAGAACTGAGAAAATGTGGAGGAGATGAGCGAGAGAATGTATATCATATCTAGATATGAAATGGAAGGAGAGGAGAGGAGTCATCGCTTCAGTTCAGTAGGATCAACAAAAACACACATACAAGTAACAACTCTCACACAAAATCTACAAACAGACTCTCAGATGCATTTTTGAAGTACAGCATCACCCTCAAGGCAAAGAAAGTTAGACTGAAGGTGATACACTTGATAAGAATCATGCTTTTTCTATCTTGGTGAGTTTTTTTCTGTGAGTGTAACAGCACTGACCTCTGACTCGGGCATAGCAGCAGCCACACTTGGCCAGGACTTTACGGAACAAGTGTTGGCAGCCACAGCCTCGGTGGTGGCGATGGTGATGGTTGCCCCCTTTCATGCTGTTGAACCATGGGCGAAGGTGGGCATGGCCCGGCACTTTCTCTGTCTCCACTTCTTCTCTCAGTCTCTCTTAGTCTCCCTCTCTCACCCTCACCCAAATAGAGGTTTACTCCTCAAAGTGTAAATCCCCAAAAAGGTGTCAGTTGATCCTCCTTAGTTAACTGCAGACAGACTTAAAAGCCCACATCCAGACGGGGGGGAGAAGAGAAAGAGTCCACAAAAGCAGCAGCCAAGAAGAAATCCACTCTGACAGGGATTTTCAGCTGGTGAAAAACAACCAAGGAAACATTCCAGCAAGCTTATCGTTATCTTGAATGTGCTTCCCTGCGCTCCGTCTCTTTCTCTGTTTTCCTTTTGGTGCTGAGCTCTCGCCTCTGTGAACTGCCTGGTCAAATGACAGACAGGGAGAGAGAGAGAGAGAGAGAGAGAGAGAGAGAGAGAGAGATAGTGAGGGAGAAAGAGAGTAAGGGGAGGGGTGAGAAGGGTGGAGTCTGCAGCTCTAGTTGCTGGCTATTCCAGGGTAAGGTTCCCACTCCCCTTATTTTTCTCTCTTCCTGTCTTGTGTGTCTCTCCTCTCAGCTGCTCCCTTCTGTTTCCTCGCTTGTCTGCTATCCTTTACTAACCAGCTATAGGAGCAGAGAAAATGCCACGCTCTCCAGTGCAGATCTATCTCTCCTGGAAATAGCAACACTAATGTCTGTAATCATACATACTGCTATTTACAGAGAGGCTATGTTGGGTTGAAGGTGTCATGTATTTCCCAGTAAGGCAAAGACAGTGTCATCAACAGCGTCTGTTAAACAGTTCAGGACTGTGTGTTCACATCATAGATCATCGAGGGCTTTCTTCAGTGGGACGGCGCCAAAATTGACTTCTGTGTTCAGTTACGATCATGGGGCCGGCATAGCAAGGGCTTTTTTTTCATTTGTGTTTCCATAGAGGGAGCATGTGGTCTCCAATTTCACAATGCTGGCATGTTGGCATTCTGTGTGTGTGTGTGTGTGTGTGTGTGTGTGTGTGTGTGTGTGTGTGTGTGTGTGTGTACAGCGCCGCTGGGAGTAGGAGGCTAAATCACCACGTCAAGTATAAGTGACAAGCTTGTACCAAAACCCAGTGCTCTACTACAACGAACCTATCAGAGTTGATCAAACAATGGACTATCCGATCTCAGTATCTTCAATAGACTGTCTCCAACTGGTTGTTAAAAACTCAGGTGAGTTGGTGGACTAAATGACACAACCACGGCGAGTCCCACAGACCAATGACTCGTCGTCTATAATAACGTCATAGTAGTCGTCATGAATTACTACTGAACTAAACCACACAACGATGCGTGTTAGGTAGTCACATCTCTCATTTCTCGTGGTCGACTTTGAGTGCGTCGGGACCCCGCCGTGTATGTAACGAACACTACGTCTACTTGTCCCAAGAACAATTGGAGGTGTCCAAAAGGAGAGATGATCACTCCTTTCGTCGTATAGTCATTTAGGTCCATAAGCCTAAATGAAGGTTTAACCATACCTAATTCAAACAGAACCACAACATGACTATTCTTTTGCCTTCGTCTGTAAGAAAGATCACTAAGTTTAGTTGACTCCTTCTCCGTGAACCAGACATAGGAATACAAGAAAACCGGTATCCTTAAAACCCGTCGCCAAACTACACACTCAAAAGGTACTGTCTCCCGCTACACACGCACAGTTATCCTTCGGACTTTCTACCAACGGGTGTGACTCGGTCGAGTCATCGTTTCAAAAAGGTCAGTCTTTTGGCGACGTGGGTAGACCTGGTGGCGAAAGAACCACAACCATTGACTTTACAAAAAGACTGGAGAAGCTGTGACTACCCATTAAAAAAGTCTCCTTCGTCCATAATACCAAAGCTCGTAAAGTCACGTGATAACGGACTGTAAAAACATAAGGTTTGTAAACCATTTAAGCTAGTAGCGTCTTCTTGATAATCAGTTACTTTTCACCTTTGGGCTGAAAAGTTACACTCACTTCGTTGGGTAAGGTTCGGAGTTCGTTGTTCATGTTTACGGGGGATTGACCCGGGACATCTTCGGTGAGGGAAGTAAATTCTCGAGTGTACTTTTCTAAGGGAACGTAAGAGTTCCGTCACAAGAAGAAATAATACAGAGGTGACACAAAAGACCAACCTGTCGAGGCTGTCCGCGAAAGGAGTGCAACATCACGAAACGGGAGCCTAGGTTACAGAAGCAAAAACTCAGAACAAAGAAAAATTTTAGACACGACAGTTTCGATAACAATGAGGAGGAAAACTAACTCCGAAAATACGATTTTTCATAAACCCCCGTCGGTATAGTCGGTCGTAGTCACCTCTGCTCACCCTTGCTCACTCTGTAAGTCTGGCGAGACAAATTATGAGACCACTGTTTAACGGGGATGTTAGTGTTCAACGAATATCGTAGGTAATTTTCGTTTCACTTTCCTCCCCTCCTTTCCTCCCCCCTCCTTTTTCTTCTTTTCTCTTTCTTGAAAAGATGAAGATGCACACACACACCACACCACACGACACACACACCACACACACACACAACACCACACACACACACACACACACACACACACACACAACACACACACACACACACACACCACACACACACACACCACCACTCACACACACACACACGTGAGGTTGAGACACAGCCAAACTGTCTTTGTAGGCACTGCGGTAGCTGGTGGTGGTAACAGTGACACTATTTACCTACGGACTCTTATGTCGGGACGTTGGTAACGTCGGGAACTGTGGAGTCCCTAACAAGTATATACCACACATACGCACGTGTAAACAACTCACGGTCGGTCCTGAGTCGGCTAGAGAACGAAGGCAACTCGGTGTTTCTCCGCTTGACTCACCGTGAGCAGGAAACTACGACATTGGGCCGACCACTTTAGACACTCAGCCTACCATCTAACACACTTTCCTCGTACCGCACAACTCACGACGTTTTCACTCTACCTTCTAGTGTAGGACTCAGTAATCGAGTCTCCGAAGCCCGTTTTACTACGACAAACAACTAGGTCTTTTCTTATAAACCAGAGTCTTTCGTTCATAAAGTATTCTCGCAGTAGTGACTGTAAATTCCGAATTGGACGGCGTTACACCCAATGAAGAACTAAACAAAGGGACCTACTCCATCATATGTCCGTACACCTGTTCTGCTACAGTAGACATTCTCTCGACTAATCAGTATTACCCTTACAACTTCTTACTACGTTGTATATTTAATCATGAAAATCTCATGCCTTATGTCGGACACAAAGTTAAACCCCTGCGTATGGAAGTAATCCATACATGTGAGCAGATAATACAGGTACTACGTAGACGATGTTTTAGACTCTTGAGTATAGTCAGCGTCGTGTGTTGGTGTGGGTCCCTACATACACTCCGCGATTGTGTGTTTTGTACAAAAAAAGACTCTAATTTTCATTTTTTCTTTACCAATCAGAATTTCACTGCAGACCTTGTCTACTCACCTTTGAAGAATCTCATACGGAACAAACGGACAGTAACACTCTTATGTCAACTCCTATTTTCTACTATTCAATGTCGACTCTTATCCCATATGGTAACTAACATTGTGTAACACCTCAGTAAAATACTTGGTATACTAATTTCATGGACGTAAAACGGACAGGAAAACTATAGTGTTTATTATTACATTCTAAATTATAGACCATAAAATATTGATGGACGTTTTATATGTAAAATTTGACATTAGTTTGGTCATTTGACCCTAACCCCTTCAAAGAGTACCAGTCTCCTGTGGTTGAAAAGAGAAGATTATGTGTGTGTGTGTGTGTGTGTGTGNGCTAAATCCCGGATCAAATGCACGCCGAAGGCTCTTTGAGCAGTTTTTCTCTCACTGATTGTGCTGTTATGTTAAATGTTTGTTGTTTGTGTTTCATGTATTTGTGTCTGGATATTTGTCTGTTGATGTTGGACATGGAGCTGCTGTGACGCAAGTCTAAATTTCAAACTTGATCTGACAAATAAAGTATCGTATCGTAATATTTGATTAAAATGCAAATACGACTAAAAATCGTATTTCTGTGTATAAACTATGATTTTCAACACCCTAGGCAGGGGTGTCAAACTCAAGGCCCGGGGGCCAAATCCGGCCCATGACTTCATTTTATGTGGCCCCACAAGAGCTTCCAAAGAATATAATATGTTTATTATAAGGTTACATGCTGATTTACGTTGCCCATAAACTACATGTCCCACAATGCATCTCAAATTTGACTTTTTTTCTCAGAATTTGTCTTTTTTCTCAGAATTTGACTTTTTTTCTTCAAAATATTCATTTTTTCTTAGAACTTGCATTTTTCTAAGAATCTGATTTTTTTTCAAAATGTCACTTATTTATTTTTGACTTTTTTTCCAGAATTTTGCTTTTCTTTTTAAATCATTTTGTGACATTCTCACTGTTGAGACTTATTAAGTTATTACCCTATCCGATAATAATCAAATGCAGAGGCAATAATGTAATATAATACATTATTTTATATATATTAAATATTTATATATGTATTTTTTGTATGTATATAAAACTGGCCCTTTGAGTGCAACCATGATGCTAATGTGGCCCGAGATGAAATTGAGTTTGACACCCCTGCCCTACAGTATACATTTTCTCATATCGAATGGAACCTTTGAATAGGTGAACACCAAAATAGGCCCTGGAGACATGAGCGAAGCCCTGAATGTTAACAAAAATATGGAAAAAATCCTCCTTCGCTCCTTTGCTCCTTCACTTTTTCCATCCTTCCCCCAAACGACAGACAAGATGATTCATCTGCACACATACAGTAAGCTTGTGCAGACGTGGAGAAAGACACCTACAGTGCTGGAGAATGATAAAATCCATACATATATGTTCACGCCGGACTGGATATAAAGACTTGTCTTATCCACAAGCACGCAAGTAGAAGGATGTGTGTATTTTTTGTCTAAGCAAAGCACGCCAAACAAGGAGAATGATCGTCTTTCCACTCTGGGTACAAGATAGTCGGAACATTTAGGAGACATGTTCAGAGAGGAATCTTGAGTATGATTTATAGATTTAAATGAGCTCATGCAAAATAATGCATTCTTCTAATGTGCTTCTGTATTGACATTTGTGGAATACAGATACGCAAAAACAATACACATTGCTGGATTAAACTAATTTATGATGTACCGTATTGACACATACACACTAGCAGAAGGAACAGACAGAACTCATATGACACCATTATGCATACTAATAGCTACGGCTAGTTTGAGTTCAGCAGATATGCAGTGGCTTATACGCAGTGTGTTCCCCCACCCCCCAGTGACATTAGCCTCTCCTCACCCCATCAGCCAGCTGAAACCCTG